TAAGACTTGGGTTATGAAAATGTTGTTTAACACCCACTAAATTTTCGAAAATGAGTCTGAAAATTTTATACTGATTTTTGAAAAATCCGGAATTTCGGTAAAATCAAAGTGGGGTGTTACATTGATATTGTATTTTAGAGTTTAGATGTTATTAGTTTTCGAATTCTGAGGACGAAATTCCTTTTAAGGTGGGTAGATTGTAGCGCCCCGTTCGAATATGCGAATTTTCGTGAATATATGTGGCATTATATGATTTTTCCAGATTATTATTATTGTTATTGATATTATTTCGATTATTTATTATGGTTGCTCGATTAAGTATTTTAGCCATCGCATTATATTATTTGTGAATAATATAATGTTAAATTATTTCATTCGAATTAATTTAATTATTTATCTAATTTTTAGATATTTATAAATAATATTATTGTTATGTATATTAAATGTCTAAATTTTATGTGAATAAATGTTTATTTTTAATAAATATTATTTTAATGTACTATTAGTAAATATTATTATGTGTATTATATATATTTAATTATCCGTTCTATTTAATTATTGTCGAGCCGAACGTTTATATGTCGTGAGTACCGAACCGAGAAGGAACCCGGTTTTTGAACCCGGCCTGAACAGTGAGTCCCGCAGCCAGCCCGTGGGCTTTTTCTTGTTAACCAAGCTTGGTTAGTCAAACCCTAAGCCTATAATTATCGTAAAAACCCCCCAGCAGCTGATATCAATCTCTCGTCCCCGCAGCTTTTTATTTTTCCTTTTTCTGCTCATCTCTCGTCGACATTGAGAAGAGAACCTCTCTCGCCCTTATTCCTCCATCATCACCTCCGACGCCATCACCATCAACCGTCATCATCATCATCGATCACCACCATCGTGAGTTCCTCCATCGCGAGACCGCCAGCAAACTTCTATCCCCGATGTCCGCAGGTCCACCATCATCCAACCATCATCATCAGCAAGTCATCGCCATCATCTTTTCCTCCAATCACAATCATACCAACAAACACCGCAGGACACTGTCTCCCTGCTTGTGATACCAGAGCCTGCAACTTCCAGCCACCGCGCGACAAACCACTGCCCCGTGAACGCCCCCGGACAGCATTCGCGAGCTGCTTTTCGTCGGCTGCCTCCAACAGGAATCCGACGGCCTCCGTTAGGCGTCCTAACAGGTCCCTGCTCACCTTTGCTTCCTCGTGAGCCCTTCATTCCCTCCTTCGCAAGCCGCCGGTGAGTCCCTTTTATTTTTCCCGATCGTGAGCCACCATTGGTGTCCCGTAGTTAATCGTAGTCAGGCCCCGAGCAGCCCCATCGACCGTCGGCTTGTCCCTGCGTGTGCCCCTTTGTTCGTGAGCTGTTGTCCATCGCCACCGGGCCTCTGCTAATCGATTTCTTCATGCTGCAACCACCGTGAGCCTTGTTCCCATTCTCCGTGTCCTGTCGGCGAGCCAAACGAAGTTGTCGAGCCCCCTCGTGTGGTCCGTTTCAACCCCGGCTCGACCCTTTCACGTGACCCCGTCCCAAGAATGGTAGCCGGACTGTGAATCCCTTCTGATTTTGATGAATATAAATATAAGTACTTTTGTGAATTATATTCAAATTATGTGTTATTATATGAATTTAATTATGTATCGACCTATTCGTTTCGTGCGAACTCGATCGACGTCACGTCAGTATAATGTTTAGTTGTTGTGGGATTGGAACATAGTGAACCCTTGGTCTTATGGAGAAGACCTCGGACAGTTTCGAGTCTTGTCGAGTCGTGTGTGAATTTATGAACTCGTGTAGTCGCTGATTTGGTATTAGATTCATAATAAACTATATAATGCGTCTATTTCCATGAAATTTTATATGTGATGTCCTGTGTTGATATTACATGTTGTTTAAAAATTTCAGAATTTAATTTCATCTGTAACTATTTTAATTAATTATGTTGAAATCTAGGCAAAATTGTTTAAATGGAATTTTAAATTGAGTTGTGCTCCAAAATGGCTTGTTTTTAAATATGTTGTTCCTCGATATTAAATTGCTATTGTGTAAAAACTTCGTGATTTTTGTACTTAGTTAGCTAGGGTAAATAATTATTTGTAGCTTTCTGCTGAAACCTGTTTAAATTATGATAAATCGACCAGTGGCTGTAAATTGCTGAAACTTTGTGGGCATGCTTTTTTTATGATATATTACTTAGCATAAATGTTTGAGAATTTAATTTGTTCTTTATGATTGGTTTATAATAAAATGCATTTTCAGCTGAATATTGTCGGAATTTTCATGATTCGTGTGTTTGTTGTTTAAAGCCGTAACTTTTATATGTTGGACCGCACCTGTTGTAGTTGCTTCAATTATAATTTCAAGCATTAATTCGTTCATTAGGTCAGGCTATGAAGTTATGCTCGTTTTTGTTGAAATCGTGTTTGAAATTTTGTAAAATGGTGTGTTTGGAGTTAAGGGCTGAGATTTGATGGTTTTGCTATGTCCAGTAAGGTGGATTTTATGTTAAAATTTCAGAACCTAACTCATTAGTTTTCCTGACTATCTTGCATTGGTGTATTTGCCCTTAATTGGTTTCGAGTCTTGTCCAAGTGTTCCAATGTCCACAGAACATCACGAACGACTTGGTTGAATCAAGTTCGACCAAGTATGATTTGTGTCTTTCTTATAAGGTCAAGATAAGTATTGACCTTATTATCTTGACTAAATGTAGGTGCTTGACGAGCCGAGCTCGCCGCCTACCCATTGTTGTTAACGCTTTTTTCACTTCAATAAAAATGACTCATAGAAAGCAATGATTCTTTCTTTTTTTGACCTTTTCTTTCCTATCTCGGCCCTTCTTTTTCTCTTTCTTTTATTTATTTTTTTTGCATAATTTTCTTGGGGTATTGGTCCGCAGAAGCACTGCATCTTGGAGGAAGTCGCTGGCAATGAGGCCTATTCCTGGACAGATACCACCGCCCTTTTAATGACCACATTGCCAGAGAAGACAAGTTTGCTATATCAGGTGGGTTTACTTGTAAATATTGCTATGCCGTAAATGATTTATTGTTGGGTTGGTATGATCAATCCATGCATAAGAATAATGTAACCTTCGATGTGAGTTGGATGTCCTTCGAACAGTTGTCCCCGTCGTTGAGAGTTGTATGTCCTTCGATGGTGCCTTTGTGAGGCAATCTCCCTAAGTCCTTATATGTCCGTACCCTTGTGAGGTACATAAGTCCCTACGTAAGGCCATGCCGTTGAGAACTGTCCTTCGGTATGCACTCCTATTGTTCAGAGTTGTTTGTCCTTCAATGGCTAATGATAGATGTGTACATGAGTGAGATTATTGGTGTATTGATTAGAGATGAGACATTGTTGAATTGATTTATGATCATGTTGTGACAATACCCTTTGTTTTGTTATGTTTTTATTTACTGCATAGTGGTGAGCACTACGATTTCTATTTGTGCTCATCCCCACCTGCTCTTCATGGATGCAGATTAGTATATGCGGGCACGTCGGAGGGATGCGAGTGGTGGTCTTTTTAATTGTTATATGCTTCCGCATTATTGAACTAATTTAAGTTATTATGCATTACTAGATTATTGATAAGGAGGTGTTCCTTAGATGTTATGAATTTGAGAAACCCGGTTTGGGTGTTACATTATTGATGAACCCGTAAGAGGAATGAATTTATGATTGAATATTGATGACTATCGATGAATGTTTTTTAAAATGAGTAGCGCCGCCAATGGTTTTGAAAGAAGTTTGAAAAATTTATTCTGATTTTCGACAAATAAAAGTGGGGCCGTGATAGAAGGCTACATCCGGCTCTCTCATGGTGATGAAAGGAATCAGGAAGAATAACTTGTATCACTATGAAGGTGATACAGTCGTTTGGACAACAACAGTAGCAGATTCCACCAACAAGGAATCTGAAGCAGTCAAGTTATGGCATATGCGTTTGGGACATGCTGGTGAAAAGTCCTTGCAAACCTTGGCGGAACAAGGACTACTGAAAGATGTCAAAGTGTGCAAACTAGACTTTTGTGAGCATTGTGTTATGGGAAAGCAAAAGAGAGTGATGTTTGGAACGGCTATCCATAATACTAAAGGTGTCTTGGATTATGTTCATTCTGATGTTTGGGGACCATCTAAGACCCCATAATTAGGCAGAAGACGCTATTTTTTCACTTTCATCGATGACTTTTCCAGACGTGTTTGGGTGTACACTATGAAGATGAAGGATGAAGTGCTTGGTGTCTTCATGACATAGAAGACACAAATTGAGAACCAGACTGGAAGAAAGATCAAGGTCCTACGAATGGGCAATGGTGGAGAATATACAAATGATCCCTTTTAAGATATTTGCCGTAAAAATGGCACTCTTAGGCACTTCACCATTAGACAGACACCACAACAAAATTGGATGGCGGAGCACATGAATCGAACATTGGTGGAGAAAGTTCGATGTACGTTGCCCAATGCTGGTTTGGGCAAGGAGTACTGGGCTGAGACTGTAATATACGCGCAACACCTTATAAATCATTTACCGTCATCTGCAAAAGATGGTAAAATACCATTGGAGGTATGGTCGGGGAAATCTATTGCTAACTATGGATCTTTATATGTTTTTGGGTCCTGCTTTCTATCATGTGAAGGATTCAAAGTTAGATCCAAGAGTCAAAAAGGCTTTGTTCATGGGAATCACAATTGGCGTGAAGGGATATCGTCTTTTGTGTCTTGAGACGAACAAAATTGTGTTTAGCAGGGATGTTACATTTGATGAACAAGGTCTGAAAAAGACGATGCAAACCCAACAGGTGGAGTTAACAATGAAGCATGTGGAGATAGATGCGATGACGAGACATCCA